AAGCGTCATTTTTTTACTTAGAGATGTGGGATTATACAAATTAGATTTTTACACTGCTATCAGAAAAACAAACCTATAGTAAAAAAACAGGTGGATCCTTTTTTCTCTCCTTAAGTTGAAAATGCATAATATATTAATTTATCCATACTTTCCAACTGCCATAATTAACAAGGAATTTTCTTTAAATCTGCCATGTTACCAAAAGTTTATTAAAATTATATAATCTTTTACGTTGTCTGCTGCTATCTCCTTACCATCTTTTTACGCCATTGACGTGCTATAGTTTTACCATGCGAATAGTTTAATTTAGAAATTTACAATAATATTACGATGTTGAAATCGTGCACAATCATATTTGTTAAGGAACGCTCCAGCACTTGTCGAAAATTAAGCACATAAATCCTCGTGTTTCATATCGTAATTACAAAATGTGTCTATAAACCAGCTGCACAACATAAAATGATGTAATTTGTCCTAATTATATTAGAATTCAAATTTCGATCGCTAAAATTTTTCATCTTTTGATTTAAAATTAAAGGGTAAAGCATTTTGCATTTTCTAAATTACATTAGTTATCATATTATTTCTATTACTATATATTTTTTGCCATTCTGGAATTCAGAGCTTTTTTTCTGGATTCCCTATCCGTATTTAAGTCATTCACATCCGGCGGAAATTTGTTTACAATTTCAGTAATCCATTCTGCATTGTAATGTCTAAGATAACTAGTTTAAATTTAAACAATATATAAGAGCGAATGAAATTGAATCTCAGAATATGCAATATAACTAATAAATGAAAAGTTTATTTAAGCACTGGTTATGTCATTAAATAGCACGAACAAATAACCACAAGGTAAGTAAATACCGCCACTTATGATTTTTGTCTGTGTTTGATTTTGTTTTCTGGCAAAATTACATTTGAAAGGATTACTTTACAAGTAATAAGTGAATTTTTGAAAAATCTAAGAACCACACCGATAAATGCTACAGTGAAGTAAGACATTGTTTGTTGGTATGAGGCTTCCATTACAGTTGCATTTTCTAAAAAACGGAAATATCGTTTCGAGGAGCAGACCACTTGCTGGTTTTGATTTTTATGGCTGATAATAAATCAGGAAAGAGGGATCGCAAATATCGCTATTTAGACTATGCTTCATTACTTCCTAAAGCCCACGCTGCCGATGTACCTACCAGTAGTTATTCGGAATACAGGTTTTCCTGTGGAACAGCACCATTTAAATGCACGCAAAGTTACTTTAAAAGGCTGGGTAATTTTATTTATTTCGTAACTGTATAGTTGTTCTTCTTTTTTACCTTCTATGTTTCTATCTGGTCCTTCTTGGAATATTAACCGGACTCCTGATAATTGTATTGCAGTTAATTATAAGCGATGACAAACCATTTCTAACTGGAAAGCAAAGCCAACTAGTTTTAACACCAGGTAGGTGCCGTTTTGGCTAAACTCTACCTTTACATTACTGATTGTACTTTAAAATTATTAAAGGACACACTAGTTCTGGTTTAAGTTTCAACATTTCAAAATATTTTCAAATGCATCTCTTTGAATGTAAGTTATTGTGTAAGGTGTTGTGCTTTTCTTACTAGTTTACTCTATTCTTCCAATCTAAAGTAAAGTTTTAGTTAATTATTTTGGGCTTACTTTTGTCTTGAAAAGCAGATTGATTTTTATATGCACTGAATATATCGAAATTCATTTTCTTTACAACTCACGTTATTATCAAATATAAGAAATACTTATTCCCGCCATTTATTCTTAATCCGTGGTCGGAAACTGCGACCAAAAGTTTTCACTAGGTATTTTAATAAAATACCGTGATTAATGAAAAATACTTCACTGTAGTTTTATCATTTTTCCTAAATGTTATCCTTTATTTTGATAATTATTGTACCCAAATCTTTACTGTTAAATTTTGCTTGATATGAAGAAAAACGGATCATACATTTTAGCGAATCAGGTTGTGATTTTTGTCTAGTTGCTTCGATGTGATTCAATTGCCATATTTGTCATTCCTCCTAACATTTGTATTTATTGCCCAAACGATTGACATTCAAATAAGTGTTTCCAAACGTTATTAAATATATTTGCACAGGTGTTTCTTTTTTATTCTAAATGGTTTTAATGAAAATTTATTATTGCATACTTGCAGACAGTAAAAATATCTCGTTAAATGTATTAGTTATGCATCGATTTTTGCAGCACTTCAGTCATGGTGATTTGGCATAAAACCGAAACTAGACTTCAACATTCCTTAAAATTCTTTTGTTTTTATGTCGAATAAATAGACCCACTTATGGTAGCCAGTGTTTTTTGCCTTCCAGCAGCTTAGGTATGGATAAATTGCAATATTTTGCTAAAAGACTTGATTTGGGAGTATAGTCTGATATTTCACGTGAGTGAGTAATTCAGGTTAATTTTATTCTTCTGCCAAATATGCAGTCCCTTAAGATGAAGCAAATGTATCTATTGCATTCGTTTATTTTTTTTTAAATAGGTTTGAGTCACCGACCAAATATCGATTTTTTATCGTCGGTTATTGTATACGAGTCGGCAAATCCTCAGACGTATATGCCCTATGTACAGAACATTCGGACGTTTATTTACCTCTATGAAGAAGTGAATATCAGATCCCAGGATGGATTCGCGAATTGTGAAAATGGTATCAAGTCGCCAAATGAACCGGACTTGGTTTGTAAATTTTACCCAATTGTGCTCGAGTCATGTGTAAAGGAGAACAATTATGGATATGACAGAAGTGAACCGTGCATTATACTAAAGATTAATAAAGTAAGTTTGCCGTCTGGTTTGAAGTTAGACGTAAATACGACTGGATTCTAACTCTAAAATTCCATTAATTATTTTGTCTTTGTTAGCCTTAGAAAAAATTCCCTACACTCTCAGCAAACTTTTGTGATAAAAAATTTTAGATAAATTCAATCAATAGGATTTCATTAGAAGTCTTATAATCAATATTTTTAACCAATGTTTAAATCAATTTTTTCAGAATTTGGCGATTGGTTTTCGTGTCCAATACTCATATTTATGAAGTCAATTTTCTTAAGATATATACCTTTACGAGCTAAGTAAATAAGTCACAATCTTGGGAATAAATTTAACATTTGGAATTGATTCTAAAATTTTCTCGAATATTTACTAAGTATTAACATCATAATGGACCTTGGAGTTTTGTATCGAACCAAAATAGTAAGTTCACACCCTTACGACTGTTCAAAAACTTTCCAAATGAGCTCTTTTCTACAGGTTCTCTACTTCAGTTGCGCACTGGACGTATCAAAACACCCAAAATATCTTGTACATTTTGCTTCGGGGTTTCGAAAAAAACATTTGAGCTCTCTGTTTTGGTGCAACATCGCGTTCCCTCCGTAGGCCAGTTCTGGCTTCCTTTTTTGGTTCCTCCGTTAACTCGGGTTATTTTTGTCAGATTAGGGTGAATTGCATAGTATGGTTTGGTCGGATCCTGTCTTAGTACATTACAGGCATCCAATCCTACCAGAAGAAAGTGCAATAACATTTTTGTAGAGCATTAAACTGAGCGATCTTTTGTGTTAGGTTGGCTTTGCTTTGACCGACAGCATTTTTACTGACTTTTCTTTGTGAAAACTAACTTACCACTTTCAGTAAAAACTTTAAAACTTGTGCGCAAAACTCTTTGCCCTAAAATGATGCAACTTCAATGAATGGAGTCTCTTGATCGGATTAATTCTTAGCAAATATTCCAAAAAATTGCTTTACAACTGTTTGGTGATTCACCGATTTTACGTGTCGACAAACGGCGATCATCATTAAGCAGTATCACCAATGATAAAAATAGCGGCTGCTCGTTTGACATGTAAGTGAAATATCTTTTACCTGTGCTTCAACGGATTGGTCATGCTAACGAGGACTGAAATTTAGCTGACATGCTATCTCTAAGTTTATGAACTTGAGGGTTCTTCATGTTTTCTCGCAAGTATTACAACTGTATATACTTTTTTTTAGATTTATGGATGGTTGCCTGACATACAAAATAAAACACTGAGCAACAGTCCATTAGTACGATGTTTCGGAAGGGTGAGTTTCTACCTGTAGGCGCTTTATTTGCATGAAAATGACTGGCCTATTCAGTTTTAACCAGCGCTCTTTGATACTTCGGAAGTACATAACCCTAACGAACCAATAAAAACTAACTCTATGGTCAAATTCGCAGTTTTCATTCCGATTTTGTAAAGGTCATCATGAAATAATGCTTAAGGGGATGGTAGATTTCCTTGGATTAAAGGAAGGTTCAATACTACTTCCGCTTTTAAATTTTTGTAGTATGCAGCTGACTTCGAGGCGTTCGGTAATTTGCACTATTACCCCAATATAACAGTCGACGGAGTTGTTTAGTAAGTTTTAAATCTCAGCTATCCATGCACTCCAATTTGATTAACATTAAAACATTACTATTATTATCGGTGTTATGTTTTAGTGGGATATTCGATAGCGTCTACTTCCCATACATTATACAATACGCTTATCGGTCTCCACTTGTGGCTGTTCAGATTAAAAATGCGCGTCGGAACAGTCTGTTCTTCGTGTCATGCCGCTTATTTAATCTTATCACTCCCACAGAACCCCTTAACTTTGAATTCCTCATCGACTAAAATCTGAGTTTTTTCATAATAAATGCACTGTGGCAGGCTTTCGCATCTTTAATGAAGCATCGGGAATGTGAGAAGTCGTTACGCGAATACAGGTAAGGTAGTGGAAGGTGCAACAGGAAGTGTAAGGTTTTTTTGTAATAAAATTTCCACCCCAAAATTCATAGTGAAGCTGCTTACAGCCGAGGTAAAAGCCTACAGTAATGGAGATGTGACTGGACCTTCATGCTTTTAAACCTATTGCCAAGTAAATTGCATTATTGAAATTCCTGGGCTAGTAACAACTTGATCATGTCCGCTACACAAACTGATTAGACGAAAATTTGTGTTCAAGGATTTTCTAAGTAGCAAGTGATACTCCTTCAAATTTAAGATTTGGATCACCAAGGCAAGGCTATTATTCCATGAGTAGAAATGAGGTCCAAAGTTACACAAACTGTACAAAGGAACTTTTTGAATGTTAATGGCATGGACTTACCAAACCCGAAAAGGACCTCACCTGCATTTAGACAGCACAATGTCTGACATTTTCAATTAATACCGAAGTGGTGAGGGCATCTAAGTGGTATTTTATATTTGCAAACTGCCAAAGCAGTAATGGCTGTTAAAAACATAGACCAGTAGATGAAATTGAACCACAAATTTCATCTCCGTTTAAAACTGTAACTCTTCATCAAAATAAACTCGAATTTTATGCTGTGAAAGAAATTCCTTTGTGTAGATCCGCTCTTCAAAGTCGTAAGGACAAACTTTTGCTTCTTCCTGATGATCTGATTCTGTCTTCTGTATCAACGTGGGTGTCTTTTTCTTTGAAATTGGCGATGAGTAATAAAGGAGTTGAGTCCAACGCATTGAGGCAGCCCAGCTAACGGCCACGAGAAGGTAGAACAAGAGAAAACAAGTCGGAGCCGCCCACGTGACTAGAACCCGCCAAAACTCGACGGTGTTGTGCCAAGTCAAGTGCTCCTGAGCAACCACGAATACTCGCACCTCGGAGACTAGGAATTGATCCTTCTGAACAGACAAGAAGCACAATATAAATGGTACAACACAACCGTCAAATGTCTTGAGGCTGAAGCAGCATGCTAATCATTAAAATCTGGTCACACTAACATTTCTGTTACACATTCGCCTTACGCCACCAATATAATATCTCAATAACCATAAAACGAACCACAATTTGACATCGCTGTCATCAGGGACCAGTGGCATGGTGATAAACCAGGCTACTCCGATAACCCTTTGAATGGCAGATTGGTGGATTAAATGTTCAAGACTTTATCACGGCTAATTAATGGTCTCACCATTAGTGGAATTTCACAGCAAACGCATACTATTTTACTCAATCAAAAAAATTAACAAGAGCTTTTTGATGTAATGATGCAATTAAAATTCACGCAGTCTGTTGTCTGAGATAAGAATATAGTCCTCCAGTAGACAAGAGGACCAAAATGATACCCTTAGTATTGATTAAAAGAGCAAAACTTTCATTTAGAAAATACAATGTGGATGGATTTTTAAACCTAGATTGCTGATGGAGTCAAGGTAAATGGTACAATTGGATTCAGTTTTGAAAGGCACAGTATCACTATAAAAAACAATTGCTAAAGAGATTCAGAAAGAATTTTGGATGACCCACCGTGGACGAGAAAACATCTGTGGAGGTATTTTTAAATAGGTTTGGTCCTTCGATCCAGCACTGCCAAGTTCCAGAACCAAAAGTTGCGCTGGACTTGACAAGTAGCCATCGAGCCATCCAGACGCGTTCAGTGGCCATTCTGAAAGCGCTATCGAGATTATTGGTTACTTTGTGTGATTTGCTTTCCCAGTGTTGACTCAAATGTTCCAGTCTATTTTTGCTATCGGTGCCTGATCCACTAGAACACTTTTCGGCTCTTTCGTGCGGACAAAGCTGAACAGGCGCTAGCACATCCCAGGTTTCGTGTTCTGGCGAAACATTGAACCACGGACTACTTTCACGTGGGACGAATTTCCAGCCGATGCGAGGAAGAGGGTTGCCAAGCCCACGGAGAACAAGTCCCACCAGCGGTATATCAGCGTAGCAGTCAACTTGAAATTTTACATAAGATTACTGGGCATGGATTACTAGGTAACCATTAAAAATATGTTCTGCTTTTAACGGAAGAACGTTATGTTGGTCAAAGTTATTTCAGTTTTACCTGTTTACAGCAATAAACAACCATTTTACTACAGCATTGATCTGAAAAATTGATCGCCGATGAGCGATTTGTTAAGGGTTAAGAGGATTTTTAGTAAACCATCGTTGTAGATCGCATTCAGTACTATTTTTATAATTAACTTGTAATCAGGTAGTTCGCTTTACCTGCAAGACTTGTGATTTTTCTGTTTTTGTTAATGAGACTTTTAATTTAGACCAAAGGCGTCTGAATTTCGTAATGTCCTTGTATCACCGAAGACTGCGAAAGAATCGACAAAAGTCATAATCCTGATTGTTAATATCCACTTTCTTGACGGAAAGTTATTTACCTTAATTGGTTGACAAGTGTAAGTGTGGCAACATTTTACGCCCCTCTTCACGAAACGAATTTACGACAGGAGGATTGTAACTGCAGTGCACAATCAAGTCAATATCATGGACCCTAAGCCTCTAGTAGCAGTAGCTAGCAGGAGGAGAGTTAAACAGAATAAGACCTCTTTGTCTTAACTAAACATTTCCACTTCATTCCATGTTATCAACCCATAGCAGACTGCCTTTTGTATCTTCACGTCCACTTACATCCAACTTAACAACAGGTTGCCTCTGTTCAACATCGCTATGAGGTTACCATACGCCATTGCCTTATAACAACCATATCTATCTAACTCGGATTCCAGTGGTTTTTTAAAGACCAATACTCTTAGCAACAGCTCTTAATTCAAGCATCAACTGCATCAAACTAGCAGCATCTCAGGTGGTAATAATCATTAATGTACACTTGCACCAGTTCACTTTAACGAACTGCCCTTCTAAATGGCAAACTGTCACACAAAATGATGGAGTTAATATCATTACATTGAACATGTTAAAAAATTTGATTCATTTTTTTGCACTTTTTAGGTTTAACAAAATCCTATACAATTAACAAAGAGATTAGATTTACTCTGGTTAAATAGTATCGAGCCGACATCCTTGAGCCGTAATCAGCAAACTCGTTCTAAACGCGAGGGGTTCAATGAAAATGTGCTGCAGATTTAAATGGCCTACTTTTAAAAATGTCCACTTCTGGAGCATCTTTAATGAACGAATAAAGTTGCCAAGTCCATGCATCAAAGAACGTCCCCTTTTTCTCGTTGTTTGTGTTGCTCCCCATTTCAGACTTCTTCTCGGGCTCTGCCTCGTCTTCAGCTCTCGCCAACGTCGGAATCACTGGTGCCATCTCATTAACAAAATCCTTGGCCTCAATAATACGAAGCGAATGAATGGAAAGTAGCGTGGAATTGTCCATATCAACACTAAGGCCCTGGTCCCAGGAAGGTCTGGAAAGGACGCAGGCATACTGGCCGCCATCAGAGGGGTTCACGGCGAGCACCCGAAGCCCCACACCGGAAATCGAGGGGATGTTGAAAATGCCCAAAGATTCAGCTATTCCATCAGAGGTTTGTGAGACGCTCATTTCCAAGTAGCTTCTTCGACCATCACCTCCCCAGGGATCCACCACCCGCTCCCAACGCCTGTGAACCCACTTCAGGGCATACATGTAGGCCCCAGATGATGTGAACGCAGTGAGAACTATGCGTTTTGCGGAAGAACTCACATAACACGGCAATTCCACCAAACTGCCCACTAAGGCTTCGTGAGTAAATGGTCCGTCAAATGTGTAACCCTCCTCTTTTTTAGCAAAACAAGTTAAATCTGCTATAATGAGAATAGCGCCCCAGAATTTGAATCGCATCTGGGTAAGTGATCAATCGATAATACAAGCGGTTCAAACCATAGGTGCGGTTAAATTTGTAGCCAAAATTACTTAGAAGATAAGCAACATACAAACCAACACCAATGCACTATTTCGGTGCGAAATAATTGAGAATTAACGTGGGTCCAATTTGACCGTCTTTTATATTTATTCGTTTACCAGTTCTACTTCGATCAGTCAGGTCTGCATTTTGGTAACTGTTCGAAGCAAAGTTAGCAGCCGAACCCTGTACATTTTCATCATGCATGATATCAGCGGATTTTAGAAGGGGGCAGTGTAAATTAAACCTCAAATAACCCCATTCTCCAAGTTAGCTTTGGCTCTAGTCTTGGCGGTCATTACCACGTTTTCATAATGGGTTTGAGAGGTAACTGTAATTGTGGCTGTGATGCTTGAGCAATTTTTTTCAACTTAAACCAATAGTAGTGAGTCCTATCGTTAACAGAACAGTAATGCTTATCTGATCCGGACACATTAAGTCATTGTTGGTTGTTTAAAAAAACCATGCCTATTCACCTCACATCGTTTAGTTGCATTATATTCATTACTCTTATATCCATATTTTTTTCTCATGTTGCTTCTATGCCAATCTTAGGATTGTAGATAATACTGCTACCCTATGTTTGACATTATCGTCACCCACCTTAAAGACACCAAATAAAGTTGGAGTGAATAGTTAAGCCAGAATCAGAGAATATTGCTCGTAAATATGCATCGTAGACCTTAGTAGATCATTTATGAATATTCACTTCTGCAAGTGCGATGTCCCATGATTGGTAACCCTGCCATGCCCAAAACAACCGTTCACAGTGGTGGGTGCGCAAAATCGAAAATTCAATTTTTACTATTATTATTTTAATGAAATATAAACACAAGCAAACTACGTTTTCAATCACTCATCACCCAACGTTGCCAATGGTTCAGTGAGACCGGATCAAGCGCACTGTAACTAACATTACACACTTGGTTTATGATTTGTGACTCAGATAAATTCCACACTAGCTACTGGACAGCCATCATCTCGCAAATTATAACACAACGGAGTCTATTTAAGCATAACTAATCAGATGAGCTGCATTGAGTAGCTGCAAATACATTCCGGTGAAGGCCTAAACACGTTGGACCAACCTTCACTATTCCTTTCCTCGTTGTATGACGACAGATGGAACAACAAATAGCCAGGTTGCAATTACTTGTGGAGGATAATCACTTCCATTTTGTAATCTCACCCTGCTCCCTAGCGTTGGCAGTCGATTCCTACGACGTAAACCACTGACCAACCGCTGTCAAAACAGCATTCACAGGGGCGTCTTCTCGGTTTGGTGAGATTCTAAAACGATTTCACTCCTCATAACTTCGACTATCGACGTGTTGAAGACCTTTTACCACGAGAATAACCCGGAAAGACAATAAGTCCAGAGATGGCAGGCACGACCGTTTACTAGGTAGCTCCACAAAGTTGTGTCGTTTTACAGTTGAGTGGGCATGTAAATATGGACACAGGCGTTTGTGAGGTCACATGACCAATGCGGAAGTGGTGGTGATGATGGTACATTCAGCGGGGTGATGAACCAGCGGTCTCACGTGACAAGGGGGGAGGTGTGCTGAAAGCTGCGAGGACAGGGTTATTGGACGTGAATCAACACGATTCACTACAGACGTACGAACCAGATATCAGATATCATTGTTTTATTTATGGGCGAATGAACGTCCGTTCTCACCAGCACCTGCCTTCTCACTAGTCTCGGGCGAAAACGACAGTACATTAGCAGGGTTGTAGAGCAATGGTACACTGTTTTGGCCGCCTTTCTTTTTCTAATACACGCATTCAACTAGTTTCGAAGGTTTGCATCCCACTGGGCGATGTCGGGTTCTTTCTATGACCTGGTTTAAACTATGACTAATCGTACAGCCAGTGACAGATAAAAACTATAACCTAAACAGGTCACAATTTATTAACACTGGAGTGTAATGTTTCAAACAACTGTAAAGTACATTATTGTTTGAGAAGTTCATATCAGACAACGAAGACAAGGATGCTAGGCGAACTAGAAATATTCCTTCTGTTTATCACACAACGCCTATGCTAAAGTAAAAGTGAAAACTCATTCAGGAAAACGTGCACGTTTGATACAGTTTCAACTTTGAAAATAGCGCATACAGAGCAACATAAAGAAGAATTTGCGAGGATGAAGGTCAATCAGGCTTGGATCGAGTAAAGCTAGCAATAAGCCAATTACTTGGGCTAATGTAAAGTAATTGGAAATGCTCCTATGAGCCACAGCATTGAATCAGTGAATCAGCTGTGTGCTAAGGCAAATAATGCTAATCACTACAAGCGGCGCCAATCGTTGACGGTTTTGTTGAGCAAATCGAAAACGGTAAGCCCAAAATGTCCAATTTATTTCGACATAAAGCGGTTTATCAGTGCGGCGGCGGGAACTGAATTGCAACTGAAAATAGCGTCTTACATTAGCAGGAGCAACTGGTTGATGAAATGATAAGGTGAGGCTTTTAACAACCTGGTCAGGAAGCTAAGTTTTGGTAAACCATGGCATTACATGACTGCCTTCAGTAACCTCAAGTCTAAACGCTTAAAATTGTGCCGCGCACCACTGGCCGTTGCATGCACTAGAAATTCTTGTTTAATGAGCGATATTTCAGGTATTCGAAATTGTATGTGTATAGCGGTTTCCCAGACTGAAATTGTGGTTTTGTTTAACTGCGTAACTCCTCACTGATAAAATATTCCCAACATATTATGTCCCATGACAACCTCACGTCCAATTACGCCACACACACACACACAAACCAGCCCATTCAGAAGACCTAGGCGATTATCCATTAAAACATCCACCTGTCCACAAAAAGTTTTCAAGGTTGACGAATGCGGGGGAAAATAAGTGTATTGCAAAATCACGTAAAAAAGGAAACAATAGACGAGGAGGGCCTAAATTAGCGTTACGAGGCTTCAATAATGCAAATATCACCTACGACATATTTGATTGTGCCATGAAGGAGGTCGGAGGAGTGGATGAAAACAAGACCTTTTTGAAGAGAATCACTCAGTGTGGTGAGAGAGGGTAATGTGGGGGGCAGTGGGTTCCAATGGGTTTCGTTGTTCACACGCCTCTTGGGCCTCCTCCAATGATCGTCGCGAATTTGGGGAATCCAAGGTAAGCAGATATGAGGGAGTTGGTGTTCCATCTAACAATTTTGGGTAGCTCCATGATGAAGACGCTTTGACCACCTCCGCGTATGCTAAAACGATCAGAATACGTAATTGAAATAAGCGAAGTGATATCTTGACAGTTATGGGCGTCAGTCTAATCTGACGCACTGCTCCCCTTTTCACAGAATGCCATCAGTCGAGCGGAACCCCAACTCACCTCAATATTACCAAGTGTGTCTCGATTTCAGCACATTTATGACTTACACACGACACAAGCACAGGCACACACTGACGACGACTTGGTCGACCTCTCGAATACACGCTTGTTGGGTACCTAATGATATGTCGTATTGCAATAAACGCGATAGTACATTAAAACAAAACACACTACAATTTGCTAACAAGAGTTAAGCCCTTCAGCTGAAGTGCAAAGCCAACTTCGAATACACTGGTTTGAAAAACACCATAAACCAACTATTCAGAAATTGGGCCAATTAACAACATGCCAAGCCCTCCTAACCCTCATACGGTATTACCGATTTGGACCTAAAACGTCCCCAGAAACGCCAGGGATGTAATATATAATGCAATCTAGAACTCACATTTGCAGACACTAACGTACACCAACTTCTTTTTGTTAATTAATCACCCAACATTTAACCCGTGGAATGTTTAGCCGAATTTTGAATTAGACGGCTTGGCCAGAACAGGTTTGCCAAAGCATTCACAGCAAAAAATTGCATGCCCAAACTTAGACGGAGGATAAAACTTATGAGACCTTATACACGAACTATTGTTAGCCATAGTAAGAACGCACTACCGGATGCCAACACCATCCTAGTGAATAGTGACATGTAATCATCGGATACTTTTGTGTATACAGCTTTACAGAACACATCCATCAAAAAAACGAACATTGATTAAGTTAATCTGGGACTTGTAGGTGCCTGCAACTGATAAAGTAAAATGGTTACTGACAAATCGACTAAGGGGTCGTTTTTTCGGAACTCGACAATTACTTGAATAAGTAAAAAATATGCGCAGTTATGCCTTGGACTTCGTACAAGAAAAGCTTGACAATTGTTTATCTGCTTTCATTTGCATTGGAAACGCCAACGATAATTACACTAATAGAACAAATGTCGCATTAAGATTGTGAAACTGTATCGGAAAAAAGTACGAAACAAATCTGGGGAGTAATTAAAAATTCTGCTCAGAAAAAACTGCTTTACACAACCACGCTGTTTTCCATAATGCTAGCCTATGTCCACCGGGATTCCGCTTAAATACGAAAGCAGCCAACTCACGAGGAGGGGCAGTGTCTGACGGAGAAACAGGGGAGTCGTTGGAAGCATGACGACGCGAAGGCTCGTGGTGGTGAAGTGAAATGGAGGAGCGCGGAACTTGGGGTGTCGGCGAGTAGTTGGGGTTCACAGGCGGTGGCCACAGAAGAGACGGTGGCAAAAGGACATCTACAAAAAAATAATGGGTAAAACCACTGACCCGATTTACAGTATGTTGAAGTTAACTTTGTTTTTATCACCAAAATCTGGATAAACAGAGTAACCTCAATGACTTAAACTCGCGAACTTGAACGACACAGATCCCGGAAATACAATCAAATCCACGTCATCAAGGTAGGCTTCAGTTTGATCATGATCGATACACGTCAAACACAGCCAATGGGAAATTTTTTACAATACTTATAAAAATTCAGAGCTCAAAGTTTTAGGTTTTATCAGACAAAGCAAGAGGAACTTATGTTTTCCTATGAGGTTTCGGAATTAGGATTCAGAACTAGATGAGGTCTTGATAAACCTGATGATGTAGTAGCTGAACATGGCTCTGAAAATAGGCGTACCGTTGTTTGGTCGCCTCATTTGTACGTGTTCATTCATTTAATGATCTAACAGGTGCAAAAGCGCTGAAATTCGTGTTGTGCTGGTCTTCTGTGAACAATTTCAAGGTCCCCAAGGAGAGGTAAGCGATGTCAAAGGAAGTCTAAGTAAGCCATATATTGAAATAAAAATTAAGTCTGAATAGTGCAGAAGTAGGTTGCAGAAATTTATCAGCACATCATAATCACGCAAATTTTATGTCAGGCAAGCACTTCAATCATACTTGCAACGTCAATCATGAATGTCCAAGCAAAATTAAAAGTAGTGAAGCAAATTGGAATGCTGCCAAGGCATGAATTCCGATGGTAGGCAGAGTATACCAGCAACTGTTTTATCGACTTTATCACGTTCGCCCTTTTAAAGAGTGAACGAAGGAACCTGAAGCATCTCAAATGAATCTTGGGGGATGATTAGCCTCAAACACTAATAGTAACACGTCTTACAGAGAAGAGCACTCTATCGTTTCCGGCGAATCCTGATTCTTGACCGGTCATTTGGAGAAAATATGTAATTCGCTAACGGAACGCCAATGACCTCTGCAAATTTTTACGACCACCCAAGTAGATCGTGAAGTAATTCAGTACTTTTTTAACTGTTGATAATTGCCTGAAAAGGAAAATGAACATTTTAGTGGACGTCCTGAACGTTAATGTACTTATTGGTACAAAAGATTCCAGTTTAGTCTGTTTGACCACTGACGTCTGCATTATCAGTTAAAGCACGCTAGATAAATGGCTTCCTTGCAGGTCGGAGCTAGCTACACCCTAGGCGAGATCTAGATAAATTGCGTCGGTTCAAGTGCAAATACAAAGGTAGAAAAATGACCAAACCTCTTATTTACTGGGGTAAACGTGAAATCGACAAGTAAGAGAACTATCAATTTTACCTATCCTTTGGCAGGAAAAACGGCATTCGATAACTGGATGGTCAACTTGTGAAAAAGCCCAAAGAACACTAGAATACATCAAAAGGTGAATTCTAACTTTGAGTACGCTAAAGACCACTACCACCGTTTACAGCTTTTGGTAAAAAAACGGCGCATTAGCATGAACAAGGGATTTAGAGTGGTCAATCCGTATCTGACTACTCGATACCGATGACCAGGCAGTTAAAAGGATGGAGTTGGTGCTATGCATTTCGCGAACCAATCTCAAATACAAAAAAATTACTCGAAAACATGAGTTCGCTACAAGGACTGATTTACAACTAATACAACCCAACGTGCAACCGTTATACATGCAAAGAACTGCATATTCTAAAAACGCAAATTATAAGTTTGGTTTTATAGGAAGGAAAATATAAAAATCTGAGAATTCAACGTCACAGACGTGGTCAATCCTCGATCAGACACGGAAACGGTAAACCGACCGCTCATCAAAAGTAAATCGGCATTACAAGCAAAGACCATCACTGATTTAGAAGAATGAAGAGCACTCAACGGAAGAATGGATAATGGAGTAGATAAGGAGAAATTAGACAGCAGCGCATGAAAGCAATTCACATAAACAAATACAGGGCAAGTTAATGAACTACACAATAAGAATACAGATGCTCCTTCCAGTCATAATTACGAAGAACAATGCTACAAAAGGAGCACAAATAGGCTCATGAGAAATCACACTCACAATTTTGGGTTCTATTTGACGCATTACTTATTTATCAGCAGCAAGTGCCGTTTGTCCATCAGTCAAAATGTTAACTTTAATAAAGGGATGTCTGGCTGTTCACGAGTACCAAAACTGATCAGATTCAAAGTATTAAAAGAAATTGATAATACTGCCAGAAAAAGAAAAATTGACGCACCATCGGCACATGGGGCGGTGGGAGACGGTCTGGGGGATCGAGTTGATCGCGATCGATGTTTTGAACAACAGTAGCAAGATGCACAGGCAATTCCGAAAACTGTCACGAGTAAAAGACCTCCTATAAATGACAAGAAAAGATACCAGATCGATGCAGGTCGTAGGCAAGCAAAATCAGGGAAAAAGTATGGATAAAAACAGGTCGACTAGCATACTCAACACACCTACAAATACTAACGACCAGAAGACCGGAGTAAGGTCACCGAAGTTAGGCAACTTTTCATAAGCTGAAGTCAGACCCATCATGGGACTTCTGAAGTGTTGTAGTGTGGTGTTGTGGTGAAGCTATGGTGCAGTGTAGTACGTTATGGTGCGGTGTGGTGTGGCGTCGGATCAGGGCGCAGACATATTGGACCACCTGGCCTCAGCCAATCCTGTGTCTCTCTGTGTTCCAATGGCATGCGAGAAAGATAAGTACCCAACCAGATATGGAACGACTGAGGTGCAATATATAATGAGCGGCGTGGCCAGCGTGGTGGACTCGGATGGAAGGCGCCTGACTTGTGGCTCTGGCTCATGATTGGTCAATAAAGCCTGTTCTGTTGTACCGGTCTTTTACCTATTAGGGCTCGGGTATTCTACAGTGGCGTCGGCTCAGGGCGCAGACATGTTGGACCACCTGGCCGCAGCCAATCCCGTGTCTTTCTGCGATCTAATGGCATGCGGGAAAGGAAGGCAGCCAACCAGAGAAGGACATGGGTGAGATGCTGTTTATAATGCGCGGCGTGGCCAGCGTGGTGGACTCGGATGGAAGGCGCCTGACGTGTAGCTCTGGCTTGTGATTGGTCAATAAGGCCTGTTCTGTTGTACCAGTCTTTTTCCTATTAGGGCTCGGGTATTCTACATTGGTGGCAGCGGTGGGATGCGTTCGAATAACGCAAATCGAACCCCAGCCCTTTCTCTTCAGTGGTCAACAGAGGCAAAGACCCTTGAATGCCAGCTGAAATTGTCATGGCGGTCATCCGAAGTCCCATACACTAGATCCATAGACATTGTCCGGGATTAGGATTTCTGCATCTGAGGAGGCATTGGCAACTTAGCGACGACGACTTGGACAGTGGAAGCCAGCTGGACTGCATCTGCGAAGGGACCTACGATGGATGAAAAGTCCTTCCTGCAAGTCTACAAGAGCAAAGTCCCTCGTCAACTATTCGCATGAGCCACTAACCTGCCAGATGTGGGGTGCGGGAAGTGTCGAACTGGATATTTCACCACTCATGAACAGTGCGGTGAACCAAGCCATAAGCTGAGGACAGCTTCACTGCTGACGGGGAGGCAGTGTGGCGTCGGATTAGGCCGCAGACATGTTGGACCACCTGGCCGCAGCCAATCCTGTGTCTCTCCGTGTTCCAATGGCGTGCGAGGAAGATAAGCAGCCAACCAGGGAAGGACACAACTGAGGTGCAGTATACAATGAGCGGCGCGGCCAGCGTGAAAGACTCGGATAGAAGGCGCCAGATTTGTGATTCTGGCTTCTGATTTGTCATGAAGGCCTATTCTGTTGTTCCGGTCTTTTTCCTATTAAGGCTCAGGTATTTTACAATGGCGACGACCGAGGACGCAGACATGTTATACACTAGCCTCAGCCAATCCTCTGTCTATCTGTGTCGCAATGGTACTAGAGAAAGATAAATAACCAACCAGAGAAATTCACGCGACAAGTATAGTATATAATGAGCGGCAAGGCCACAGTGGTGAACTCCGTTCGCAGACGCCTGATGTATGGTTCTGGCTTAAGGCTAATCAACAAAAATTGTTTTCTTGTACCAGTCTTATTCACGTTAGCGCTCGGGTATTCTGCAGGGCTAAAGGGGACACCCAAGCCCAGTTTGCAAACAAAATATGACCAAAGGATTCGACGTTGACCTTAATCATCGTATATACAGTAATTTTCTTAT